ATCGATGCAGTAGACTGAAACTCTACTACATTTTACTAGTCGTGTTTACAACAAAATGTGTGACAAACAGCTGACCGGTTTCTACAGATTCTGTAAAAATTGTATATGGCTACGCAAAATTTTGAGGACACAAATATTTGTTACCGTACTTACTCGAGGTTTTATTATGGGGTACCTATATAAAAACATTGACATTAGCTTACTAACAACTTGTAAATAATAGTATATGTTACGATGGAAAATTACTATTATTTTATTTAGTATAACCCGTAAACATTGACAAATTACATTAATGGTGAACGCGTAAATAGCACACATAATTTCAGTTTTGCTCCACTTTTCTTCCCTTCCCACGCCATTATTATTTCGTAGAGCTGTCGCAGAAAAGCGGCAAACGGTCGAGTAGATGTTTTTCCAACCCCATCCCGTCGCAATTTTGCGCGTACGTATAATTACGAAAATTTTAATCGCACCGCGCCGTTTAATCCAGTGTTTTTTCCGCCGCAGACAACGACATTGTTGGTTAAATTGTGCGTCCGAACGATCGCACCAGAATGGTCTATTCCAGGCAGTGTCTCGCTGGGCACACACAATTGCCGCCTTAATTGATTAACAATCCTCTAATAACCGTGCGATGTTATCTAGCTACAGAATCCCGTCATGTGTTAACAATGTCCTCCTTGTCGCCTCTTCGATTCCGGCCAATTGAGGCGCCTTCCGGTCCCGGAAACTGAAACGATATGTTTTTGAAATGTGGTCGCTCTGTTCAAAGCGAAGAAATCATTTGTCACAAAAGTTGGTTCGGCTTACAATGTTTTCGTCTGAGTTTCTTCTAAATTAAAGTGGCTCTATATTTCTTATTAGAGTGCTAAAATGGTATTGCATTTGTAAATTGTTTTTAAGTGCTTTATAAATAATTCACCCAACGTAAATATGTATTTTGGATGATTTTCGTAAAAAGTGTACGATCATATATAGCACTTCATTTTATTTGGAAAAATATGTTTTGTACCGCGTGAGCGGCTCATACTCGTATAAAATAAGATTATGAACCACTAAAGAAAATTGAATCGTAGAAATAGTAGTCGTCACAAATACACGGTGTCTACTTTGATTGAATATCTTAATCACGAAAATAGAGCAAAGATAGCATCTAACATTGCTGCGTACCGTTATCGCATCAGTTTTATTTTAAGTATTCTTATAAAAAAAATCTATAAAGTTATTTATTCAGAAACTAACTTTCCTTGCCTTTGCGGTAACTGTATTAATACTGTAGGTGCTTGGTCACGTCAAACGTGAAAATTGAATATGGAGTTACAAATAAAGTAACATTTAAATTGTGTATTTAGAAATTATACTTATTACACGAGTTGGTAAGATGTAACTAGGGATGTTAGGACATTCTAAAAATTCTGACAGTATGAGTCGCTCGCCAAAATGCTGATACAATATCATGTTATATCCTAAACTGATACAAACCCATCAACTTTTCGAAAGGAAATTAAAATTTTAATACGACAATAAAAAGCGTGAAAATGGTAGTCACAGATCTCTAGTGTGACATCATTTAGACCTACTCTCAGAATTAGCAGCTGTGATTCTATTTGATTATACATAATGTAGGCGCGGTAGGTTTGAATAAATCAGCACACATTTTTTTTAGACATTAATCAACAGAATTAAACATTTTTTGTCCGAATGACGTCATGGTTTTTGAATGTTTGAGGTCAGCATCTAAAAACGTCAGTATCTGAAAACATTCTGTAATTGTTAAATTTAACAACGGTCAAAAACACTGGGTCTTTAACTTCCAAATGTCAACGCAATAGCTTTAGCAGTATCGGAGATTGCAACTCTGACAAAATCGGCAACAGATTGTGCATTTTCTGATTCTTTCGATGGGTAAATAATATTCTTTAAAGGCTGTAAATAAACTATCATGGAAAACTCTTCACTTCCGTAAAGATTCCCATCAAAAGTTACTTAAACAGTTGAGAAGCATATTCTAATTGTCCACAAATTCCACAACGCCAAGTGAAGTAACTAAAAGAAAACTACCAGTTAGAGTAAGCTGAATAAAAGAAACTAGAAGACATCACTGGAACAAAATCGAGTTCAGTTTATTTAGATTTTTAACAGCTGTTCCCTTTTGAGAAGAATGATTTGCTTCGAAAAAATTACGTTATAGTAGCATTGAAGCCGCTATGTTGCACACTTTTCACCGTATCAATGTTGATATGCAATATTAACTTTTGGGTCCCTGATTAGAATTTTCATTAATCAACCGACCGTCTCAAGACGCAATTCTCAAGACTGTACTCCGATTCCCTGCGTGGCAGAGGTTTCTAAGATGTCCCTGGGGATTAATGCATTACTCCGAAACCAGTCTCCTTTACTAAGTTGCTAAAAGCCCGTGTCTATGTGTTAATTAGCTGAATCCAGTACGTAATTTAGAACTGCGAGTACGCCAACGAAAACGCAACAATATTCGAAAGTTCACATTTTTAACCTTTGCTAATTAAAGATTCACATTGTGAGCAATGCTTTCAATGGCCACGAAGGATTTCCATGCTAGCGCAACGGGGTCGAATGTTTTAATAATTGAATTAGTTTGTGTTATGGGCTTGTCTATTGATTTATGTATACCTTGTCACTTTTGAAGAATTACCACCCACTGTCATTTTTTAGGTGTTAAAATTACGTGTATTCAAGGTGTCAAATCACACCGAGATCTGGAAGTTATTTTGACCCCTGTAAATAAATATTCAAACAAACGAAACTTCATTAACTTAATTAATGTTTCATTTGTGTTAAAGACGAATTATATTCGTGCTAGCCTTATAAAGTATGTAAAAAGTAAACACCGTTTTCATGTTAAAATAGAGTTGAGATTGAACCCAAAGTTTATTGAAAGTTATAATTCATTGATTCAAAATTAATATTTTAATTGAACCAATTAGGAAATCCTGTTTATTCTTTTAGGAGCAACCGGTTTATTCTCGGTACGATAATAGATTTCATTATTTCAGTCTTTTAGTTTCCTGATTTTTTCATTGGTTCGACGGAATTTTTTAATGGCAATGATAGATATAGGTCATGTGAAATTTTCCATACAAAACAATGTGCGTTTAACATACATCTACAACCAGGAACATTTGGATCAAAACCAGAAAGTATACTTTCAGTTTGTGGTTGAAGGTTACTGCATAAAGTATTACAAAAAAAAATAATGTAAGCAGGATAAAGTTTTGAATATTTCCTACCAGTAAGAAAGTCGTTTACAGCATTTACATTTTCCTCGAGCTCATTTGGTTTTATAGCAGTTTGTCATAATTTGACCAGACCTTTAGTTGAGTTTTAATTATAATTGTTTTAATTCTCCGGAGGTGGTGATAGGTGGGAAATAAGCAAAGGAAATACGACTGTAGGTTGCAGGCCGTTCCAAGTTTAAATGGCCTCAGGAATTAGACCAGTCCAGCCACAATAAGGCTAAATAGTGCGCCGTAACTGTTTCTTTACCGAAATTTATGGCCCACGAAGAATATCAGGGAGTTGTCTCTGTTTTGGTGAATATGGACGTGACAAAAATGAGGTGGGGGTGGTTGCAAGCCCTCCACTGGAGCACGAACAACTTTGATTTTTATCGGAAACTTTCCGCCGACAATATTTATGACGATGTAACTTTTGAATTAACTTCTCACACGGTCCAATATCTGCGAATTGCTGCCAATTTCGACCTTATGTTCTTTCAATTAAACTTCTGACTATTCTTCGATTTTTGCCCTCGAGATTAAACTGCGTTAAAGGCTTTCTCTCGACGCCATCAGCCGTTGGTTTTTTGTTAACTGCCATTAATTTTTATTACCTCGTTTTTGTTTTTTCTTTTGCATTTATGATGTAAATTAACAAGGATTTATTTTTGCGACTGTGAAAAAAGGGGATAAAAAGGCAATTTTCTTTACAACCCATTTACACGGGCTCTATTAAGAATGAATTTAGGGGATGCAATTCCGTTGTTGGCGGTTAATTTATTTATAATGGGCATCAACTTAGGATCGAGCTAATTTTAAAATGGCATGGGAAAGCGTCATTTTACGCATGTTTTCGCTGCGAATAATGACAGATTACCGTCGATTTTAACTATTAAGCAAATCAGAAAACACTTAAGCACGCAAATGGAATATCGATTCCAGAGCAACGATTAGTAAACAGAAGATTCGAGATAATTTAAAAGTTAATTTGGTTAATTGTTAAAATTAGTTATTGTCTAGAGCAAAAAGCTATTAACTGCGCCTTATAATCTTAAAATAATGGGAGAATTTCTTGGGAGATAGTAGAAGCTATAGGATATTAAGCTGCTTTACTTCAATTACCCTAAAAGTTACAATACATTCTGTCTATATGTGAATAATTCAAACCGCACTAGACAATGCAGGATTATGGCAAGTTGTGCACATTAGCTTCATTACAAGCGTGTAGTTATTTCAGAAATGGCAGGTACACGGATCTATTTTTATGTCTGAGGTGAAACTACTCTCCCAGACATATTCATTCCAAATAATAGCACTCCGGAGAAAAATTGCAGTTGATAGTTTGTTGCTCCACCAGTTTTTCTTCGCCTTATATTGGCATCGCGATAATTCCACTTGAACGAAAATTGTTTTCGCAGGTGCAGTAATATCTGCTTTTAGAAATATTTCCCACGATAGAAACAAAATCAGACATATGCAAATGAATCTCAGGCTCGGCTCGACCATCAAAAAAATCGAATTTTCTCGTGACTGTTAAGAGTCGGTCGAATTTTCCCACTTCTGACGCATGTTTTCCTATCCTCGCGCTTCAATAAATTGCATTACTGAAGGCTATTTCACACGTCGAAGCGTTATCTTTTTGCTTTTTTGACAGATGACGGCAAATCATCTACGATTCGTTTTTTTATTCGCTTGCCTCACGTTTTTTCGTTATTATCTGTTCTAATTGAATCTGTCTTTTTGCAGTTGTGTCGTCGAAGATTCGCGGCCACCAAGGCTGTGGACCCGAACATCTAGTACATTGTGCTGAACACCTTACAGTATTAACGGACTCTGGACTGACTTTTGCCACCAATAAATCTGATCTTGATAGAATGTGCCCGTAAGTATATGACAATTGATAATGAATGTTATAGTAAGATTATTTAAAATTCTTCTATACTTGGTTACATTTAATCATGCGAAATACGTGTTCATTTGCAAGGGCTTACATTCGTAGTCTCTTTTTGTCCTTATATTACATTTTAAAAGCTTCAAAATTTTGTAATGGTTTGAGGCACCGTTTGATTTAAAAAATAATTTCAAGACGCTCGGAAACAAAAAAATACGTTTGCTGAACATTTAGACACACGGTTGGTACAGATAACATTTTCCTGTTATTTATCACATCGTCTTTTAATATCTCTAAGTTTTACTTTGTTTTTCTAACAGTAGAACACACAAGTCATACAAAAATATTCATTACTATTGTCCCGTTCTGACTCTCATTCTGGTGTATTCTCAAGTAATTTTTCACTTTCGTGTTAACTCTTAATATTCCTTGTGTGCATGTGTATGTTAAATATAAACTTTAAACTTTACACCTACATACCCAGGACTTTTTCATCACCATAATGTTCTCAAATACAAATGGGTATAAAATTGTTCCAATTTTCTACCCACTTTTACATTAAGATTCATTCTTCATCATACACTAAATTGTAACGTCAGTTTGTCAATTTGCTTATAATTTTCCTTCTCGACAAGGCAGATATCAACGCTTATACTTTGTGAAGATGCTGTGTTATATTTGTTGTAATAAGTTTTACGATGAGACACCAATTTATTTTATTTTTATTTACTGTATTTATATTGTGCCCTTTTTACTGTTGGATTTTGATTTTTTTCTCCATTTTACTGAGCGAGGATTAGGGGAACTGAACTTTTACAACACTTTTCAATACCCATGAAAATACTCACGACAATTCTGCTGTTAAATATGTACCTACAGTTGAGTTGTGATATTTATCTCATAATTTTTTAGACACAAAGCCTATGTTACATATTAATACTACATTATTTTGTAGTAAATAAGTAATATGTACCAAATATGATCTTGTTTTTGATGCGCTGTTGCTAATTGATGGCAAGTAAATATTCAGTAAGCAGGATATATTTTTTCTGCTCTAAACAGAATATTGCTGTAAGCTAATTTCATGTTTCTTTAATATCTCGTAGAACACGACAACGCAGGTTTTTCAGTCGTCTGTCCGTTTTCTTTTGCCGTCTATTTAAAAATATTTAATATAGACCATCTCTTGAGCAGTTCAGTGCAAAGTAACACTGAAGTGCAAATAGTATCTGATTTTTTTATTGCTGTAGTAGATATTAAACAAACAAATATCCTGAATTATTACAAATTTTAATTTAATAAAATGTCACTTTATGAAAGTAAACAGGTTTACTTTTTGCATAGACTTGAAGATGAGCTAAACAACGCAAGCCGAAGTCAGTTAAGCATTTCAGACGTAATTTGGACGTGGATCGCCTGTCCCCCTTTTTCTTGTTTTTTTTTTCACACGGTAATGTTTAATTTTCTGTGATGCACCGATAGAACACGTTTTCGTCGTGTGTTAGGCTGATGTACGTTGTATAAAACTTAATGCCCACAATTTCTTCTGCTGCTACTATTATTATAAAAATATTTAAAAAAATGTGCCAAGGGTTTCACAACCGAATTAACGTATTTAAAGCGTTGCCAAGCGTTGTTTATTACGTGCCAATAGTTCTACAGGTCCAAGTCCGTTGTACTATTTTAACCGAATTTAATAATCTGGCAGTTAAACCCAAAAAATGTTTTTCATGTTGTTTTTCAGCTTCGCGCGTGTATGTATCTATTCGCATTTTATGATGGAATTTTTCTTTTTGTATTGTCAGCGAGAAAAAATAATTTTTAACTCCATCCTGAGTATTTAACGCTTGGATTTCCATAATTGAAAGCAAACTTTACGTCCACTCAAATTTGCAAATCCTGTTATGACGGCGACCGTTCGTTATTTTGGATTTAAAATTCATTAATTATGCGTTCTATTATTCGGTCACATCTACCCCGAACCAATTGTTATTGTACGAAACGTGCTTAAATACTTTGTGCGCTGTTCGTTTAAATCTAATTGTTGGCGTTGTAAATAAAACACGAAATTATCCATCTAAATGAACAAGCGGTTTCACGTTTCAGTCGATACTTCTGCATGCCGATTGTACCGAAAATTACCATTTTTTAATCATTTTCCGTATTAAACAATGACTTTTTCAATTGAATATTCGTTCGGTTTTTAATGAATATTAAACACGATTGGAATAACTGATTATGCAAAGTTGGTATTTTATACTTACTCCTCTTTTACGAATGGAATTTTTTCATTAAATTTCATAATCTATTTATTACGTTTTCAGAAACTTGGCATGGCTAAAGGAAATAATACAGTACATGTTCCGGAAATTATAGAAATGTTTCGCTTTTATCAGAACCGAGAAGCTCGCAAAGTTGCGAATAGTTCCCTAATTTATGTCGGCGGAATTACATAGCCGGCACATCGCATGCATTGAAAGAGAACAGATACCGTGTGATTTGATTTTATAAATGTTCTTGTTAAGTTCATTGTTTATAATGCTGACAAGATAATTATATGTAACACATCCCCGAAAACTTCAGAATATAAAGATTACAGATAAATCTGCCATCATCACTGAAAAAACGACTTTTATCAAACTTCCGGAGCGCTAGAAGTTATGCATTTAAGATGTTTTCAGCAATAGTCTGCTTTGAAGCGTTTCATTAGTATAATTAACACGAAGGGAAGGAGTTTAAAATTTGATCCAACTAAGAATTTATGACAAAAAGTAAATATTTTTTTCTATAGAAATTAATTTACTTCTCAACCTTCATTTATATTTTTTAATTTTTGGCGAGAATGCCCGAGGCTGTTAAAGACAAAACATTTTTAATAAAAATTGTAAACAAACATTTTAATAAACATTCATCCTTCTTAATTAGTGTTCTTTCTTATTAATCTTTAAAAAGACGTGTACTAATAGTAATTAAAAAAAAACACGAAATTTTATTGCTGTGCCACGTGAAAAATCAAGATAAATTCTACAGCTAAAATGAGGAGGAGTACGTCAGATTGCGAGCAAACTGTGTTTCAACTTGATATCATTATGTCACCCAATTTGCAAACACAAAATTTACAGAAGTTCGTCCCATTAAAAATTCATTACCTCATTTCGATCTATACCGTCCAGAATTAAATTTGCGAAAGGAGGAAAAACTTAGCCTGTTCTAACTTTAGATAGCTAGAATTTAATTCTTCCCGCGGCTTTAACAAGATGATTATTTTTCATCGAAATTATTGTACAAAAACTTTTTAATAACCCTATTCCAGAATATCTAGCTCCAGGCATTTGCTGTCCTCATACAACAGTTTTCAAATAAATGCAAATATGCATTTACACAGTACGTGTTTTATCTCGGTCGCAACTTTTTGCATTCCAACTCGGCAAATTTAGATATATTCGTTCCGCGAAACTATTTAATATATCATTTTCCGTTTACACGCGTCAAATGACTTATCGCAGATATTTATTCGTAAAATAGATTAATTTTGTTAAGCAAAAACGGATTTGTTAATTTATTTGATATGGCCGTTGTAATTTTTAACTATTATTAGTTAGTTAATCGCAATAATGTTGATCCAATTTACTAAGGGCGCATGTTGCTCAAATATAATGCTCCCCAATATATCAGTAACATTTGTTTAACTGAGATATAAAAAAAGTCCTTCCTATGAAACATTTGGAAAAGATAACGATTACAAACTTATGCAAACACGGTCTTACAATAGTGACAGTTTAGCAGATTTTGTGTTGTTGATATAAATTTATAGTTAGACAGAACTTCCCTCGCCCCTGAAGTACGATTAAATAGTTTCTTAGACGAATGGATTTAATTTTTTTGTCAGAACTCCTATAAATTAAAATAAAGATCGATGTGGATTATTAGGTAAATAAGTATGGTATGAGTCTGTACTTGTAGTTTATCGATTCATCCATGTTTTTTAGAATTGTCAATTAACCAAAAATCTGAATGAGTTATGTTTATTAATCAAAACTAGAACGGCTCATCCCATTTACCTGAAAATACAATACAGTTATTATTAGTACACTGCACCTATGCAAATCCATATATGTGTTCTTGCAAAAAATTTGAATTTGTGATTGCAAAATCAAATTTTTCAATTTTTCGAAAAAGCTGGCTATGTTTTTTTACTATATTTCAGGGGCGAGGGAAGTTCGGTCTGAATCATCTCAGATTTAAATTTTTTGTATATTTTACACTTACTAGCCAAGCAAAAGTTTCGGTGTCTCACTCATAAACTCGCGTTACAACTAGTACCTACATTTAATGATCTGGTAATTCTTTTTCGCTTGAGTTCGTACGCAGGTGTTGAAAAGCAACAAGACTTAATCGAGTTCGATAGCGTTGATCACTAATTTGTTTAGCATCAACACGGAGTGAATGGGATGTTTCAGATCGTAGTACGGTATAATCACTACACAAACAAAACAGAAAATTTGTGCCCAATTAAAACGGTGTGCAAAATTGAATTTGCCTAATCGCGCGAATTTGGCACAGGTCCGCACTATAATCGCTTTCAGACCGTGTTTGTTCGCCAAGTCAGCGCGTTGGCGCTGTTATCATCACCTAACGAGGACTTTTTATGCATTTACAACGCAAACCCGCCGGAAAAAATCGAGCATTTTTATCACAGTCTCATCTGCGCGTCTCTCTTTGATTAACGACCCACTGAAATTGAGATTGTTCAAGGGACCTCCGCGACGCCGTTAGATGCATCCATGGTTACTCAAGACATTGCATGAGTTTGGAACAACGCGAACACTTCAAGACCCTGTTCCATGGCACCGTCCTCATGGTCGAAAACCTCTGCAGAAACGAAACCTATCAAGAGGAATACCTCAAGTATGCGCCGTGTATGAAACAGGTAGTTATGAACAATGCTTTGTAGTCTTGCAAAATACGGCGAAATAAAATATTTTCTAACCATTTAAAACGTGAAACTGAAACCATCTTCAAAAGAGAAATCAACAATTAAAACCTTCCAGTTTGTAAAACAGTGAAATATTTGAGAAATTCTTTCATGTTGTGTTTGAATTAAACTAATACTTAGTTATTGCTTTTGAAGTCATGTGTAAGTAACAAAACATCAAATATTGTGGAAAAAAATGTATAATTATAATGTAATTTAACTCTAGAAATATTTGTTTAAAATTAATTTCATCATAATATTTTTATTTTATTTTGCTTTATATTTTTCTTCTAATACCCTCTAATGGTCTTGTTTCATTCATGTTGGTTTGTACTTCACCAATCAATAAAACATTATTATTTTTAAGGTGGAGAAGCAGAACGAAGTGTGTCTGAAAACTTACACCGATGAGATGAAGGAAATTGAATCCAGGACGCAACAGGAAACCACAGCAGACCCAGACTTGGTCACTTACCAAAAAAGGAAAAGGGAGGTCGCCGACGAAGGCATCAGGAGCGTCTGCTGGTGAGTTCCGAGATTATGACGTTTGCGTGACTTCAAATTAATATCAAAATTTCCTATTCTGAAATTTACATTGGGCTCACGTGAAGCGGATTTTATTACGAGAATATTTTATGTTGGCAATAAAAATCCTGAAAACGAAACAGTACAATAACGCCAATCATGAGCAATAAATGTGTACACCGAAAATAACCACGATCAATCTCATTTTTGACCGCTGCTTAAATGTTGTAGGGTTTTACTTACAAATAATCAATTTATCCTTGAAGCATCTTAATAAAGAACGATATCAAGACTGTAGACTGTGCTTGCTATCGCATATTGCTGCCAATGACAGCTGCAATTTCTCTTCTCAGTGCACTGTAATTTTTATCCGACAGAATGTTGAGAAGCTATCATGTATTGTACGTATAATGATACATTATTAACTGTCTGATAGATCTTAGCAATTACAGTGTTATTTAAAATTTATTTGCAAATGTATGCATAATGAAAAATGAATAAATAAATTCTACCAAATTTCTTATGAAGTTGGAGTAAATGTGAACATATAATCTGACTAATATTGGGTTTAATAACACAAAATTCTAGTGGTCTCAGTAGCAGTCGCCAAACTGATGATCACTTGGCGTGCCAGATGTCAGAAAGCTCACTTCAAGAGTTCAGCAAATTGTTTTATAATTAGATGCTGTACTTAAGTAATAGGAACACAAACATTATTCACGTAGTTCATTTATTTGAGTAATCTGTTATCTTATCTTAATGTTTGCATAAGTACGCAACAAATACGACATTTTTGTCACAACTATCAAGTAAATATGTGATAATGTCGGTTACTGGTGAATTTCGCATATGTTTGATAAAAAATTACGTTTACCAAAGTACTTAATATATTATTTAAAATAAAAAAGTGCAATTTACTCGCGATATTTATGTTTCAGTTACGTCTTCATTTTTTTCTAACAAAAGATCGATTTCCCAAAATGTTGATTACTGCTGTAGAGAATATTGTGAAAAAGTGATAACAGTAGATGTTATGAATTCGTTACATAAATCAAGACGTATAAAAAGCAACTTTAATTTAATATCTGTTCTTCTCTTTAGACATAATTACTTTCTGTATTTATTGTAGATTTATAGCAAAGCGACGGTTTATTAGTTCTATGCATGATAATTAATTCCATGCTCAATTTTGATCTAATCATTAACTGGAGGACCGTATTACATTCTATATTTTTTAGTGGATGCGACTCGTACAAATTATTAATCTTCTTAAGATTAAAATTATAATTTCCTATTTACTAATTATTTTTGAACTCAGTAGATAAAATTTTGATTTCATTAAGCACATTTTGCTGAACTAAAAATAATGTATAATTGCCTGTAATTTGTTTAGATTTTGTATTCGTGGTTATAACACACTTGTGCGCAAAATAACTTGTTGTGAGACTTTATAATCTTTGAACTCTTATTTTTATTGCTACAGGTAATAATTTACCGTTATATTTTGTTTTCCCCGTGAAGATCAAACAATGCTGATATATTAAAAAGTAAATAAAGAATCGATGAAATATTAAATGTCGAGATAAACGTGGTTTGCCCAACTTCGTAGCAGTCAATACAAAAATCAGTTTCGTTTGCATAATGTAAAATGGCTACAAAAATAAAGCCGCCCGATGTCACAGTAAAGAGCTAATAATACCTGACCCTCGTTTTCAGTTCGTTTCAACGATACGTGGAGTGCTCAACTCACACGATGAGGCGAGCCTGCGGTGAGGATGCCGCCCGTTTCAGCAAGGACTTCCTCGACAAGATGTCCTCCTCTCTAATTCGGGTGAGTACCAACCGACGAAATATCTCAAACTTTGAATGAATCACATAAAACTGCAAACTTGGTCGAGCCCACGTATTGCAGATATATCGCCGAAACGTGTTTAAAATAGCATCAGCGTTAGTTTTTTATTGCACGGGGTTAGTTTTGCTCGTCAATTTTTCCGCTATGCAGTATTAAAGCTTCAGAAAAACGCCGTTAAATTTCATCGCGCTACACTTTTATGTTGTGTTGTGAAGTGTGAAAGGTTATACTAATCAGATTTTGTATTTCAGATGCACTGTTCAGAATATGGGAGGAGGGAGTGTGGACTGGCTTCTGCGGGAGAAAAACTTTCGCAAGTTTCTTCGTTAGTTTTAGCATTATTAGGAATTTTAGCGTATTTTGTGAGTTAAGTTGTGTGAAAATTATTTATTTGGTGTGGTATACAAGTGGAATGAGCATTTAGTCTATTTAAGTAATTTAAATTTTGTTCACTTGGAGCGTTTTAGTCCTCGATGTGTAAACAGTCAATAATGCTGTCTAGGCTATGGTAGATGTAGAATATAATAAAAGACTGATCACATAGAAATAGATGGCTGTTTTTCATCAAAGGCTAAAGCGCTGCGAATTACGAAAAACTCGAATGTTTTTTCATTTTCCCGTTGCTCATATATTTGTTTTGTATACGTAATAACATCAAAATTTCTTGTTGCTAAAGAGTGAAGACTCTTAAAATATTGTACATAAAAATCAATCAGAAAATTCGAAAATCTCATTTATTGTAAGACATACCTAGTGAAAGTACCTAATTAGAAGCATATCTAGTCTTTCATATCACTACTACTTGTGATTTGTAATTAAAATCGTAATTGATTTTTACTACTAGGCTGCACTTGTTTGGTTTTAAATACAATTTTTTCCAGTGAATCATCGTTCATTCCCCAAATGGTTCGTTTCTACTGTTAATTTATTTTTTATTTTACACCGTCCATTTGAAATAATGTGAAAATATTTAAATGTAGAAGTATTATCTTGTTGAACTAAAATATTTATTAATTAAAATCTCAAAAACGAAATTATATAGAAGTCAAAGCCCTGAAATGTGAGATTATTAAAACGAAAGTCCAGAATTACTCCTTGTTTAAATATGTATGTTATTTTTTTCTAAGTAAAACAAATAATTAACTCCACTTTTTCTCGGCTTTGATTTAGTATATAAAATCTGTTACTTACTCTGATGTCTATTTTAAATTGTTCCAAGAAAAATAAAAATTCTTAATAAAATGTTTTATAATGACAGGCTTGTTAAATAATCCCGCGATTGTAAGGAGAAGAGATAAATATTATCCAACATTTTATTGAAACACATTTACCAAGTTAGAACATCATAACAACTCTTAGCATTGTGCTCAAAACTGTGTAACATCTCGGTTTTATAAACTGGCGCTCCATTGTATAAAGACATACTAACTTTTCTAAAGAGAAAACTTGAAACAATTACATAATTCCACAAAGTATGTAGATGGGAAATTTTTATCGTTTAATCTTGAAACTCGGATAATAATAAGTGTTGGTCTGTACATTTTATTTAACACAGGTTTTATTTTTTTGCTAATCATGGTGCTATGCCATTTAACTTTTTCGACAGTTTTAGATTTTAATACAAAGTAAAATAAATGCCTAAGATTACCAGAAATTCCAAGATTTGTAAAGTGTACACCTACTCCTCACAAATGTTAAAATTTTAGAACATTAAGGTAAGTGATATAATTATGTATAGTGAACCAAGAGTTATAAGGTTATATGGCCATCATAAAATCATCCCATTGTGTCGAAGTTAAGTTGTTTACAATAGAAAAGGTTTTAGGGTCGTAAATAACGTGTCCACTGCAGCTCGACCGGCTCTTGTGGTTTCGTTCAGGGGCGGCTTTCACTAAATATGAAAATCCACCACTCCACTATTTCTTTACTACCTGCAGCCGCTGAGGGTTCCGAAATAACCACTCGCTTTGAAAGCCGGCCCTGTTAAATATGAGCAAGAAATGTTTAGAAGATGATTTATTGCCAACCGGTAAGCTTAGTGCGAACCACACAAAGGGGGTATTTATTTGCGGTCAACTACTTTTATGATGGCCATATAACCTTATAGGTCTTGGTTCACTATACCTGCGTTTGTATTAAATAGCAATGAACGAAGTTGAAACCCTGCAGGGGGCCTTTAAGTGCATAGTTAAATTTATTATGGTTTCAAGAAATCATAAGCACTGTGAATTGTGAGTTGGTGATCAATTTTTGCTAATTATCTTGTTGGACTATATAAATGTATGCCTTATTAGTGGAAAGGCATATATTATTTTTTTAACAAGTACATGCGTAAAAAAACATCAATTTTTCATTAAACTAAAATTGTTACAATAAAATTTCCTTTCAATGCAAATATCTCTTGTATTCGCTGCGCATTTATGAATCACTTTTCCGCTAATTGGTATTACGTCAGATGGATGTATTTAACTAGTACTGCAGTTGATTCATACTTACTAGAAGAAATAATCAACGTAATAGACATACACATTTCACTAAGCTTTATATATACAGGGTGCCGCATCCAAGTCTGGATATAGGGAATTAACATGCGAATTGGTTTTTATTTTATAATATCTCCCCAGATCACTTTAAAGCTATTATTGAGTGATGGCTTTGTGGAGGTCGAAGAGGGCTATCGGCCAGTATTTTTTTCAAATCGTTGCATCGCGCTCATTCACTGTAAAAAGGTTTTAAAAATCGTATTTTGAAATTCGCGCCCGATCCGAATTGTCGCGAAGTGTTCCGTCGTACTGTCGAAGTTCGGCGATCGCGTATTTTCATTACCCATGCAAAATTCAAATGTCAAAGTGAAATTAGAAATTATTCTCATCAGAAATCAACGAACAAGTCAAACTGAATTATTTTATCCAGTGTGATGATTATTCTAGGACAAATTAAACGGAATAAATGCACAAATTGTTCCATTCATTCGTCATAGTGCGCGACCCCGTCAAACGAGCCATCTCGAACTACAATCAGACCGTATCCAAAAAGCCCAAGATGAAGACTTCAAGACTTCGAGCAGCTGGTCTTCCTCAAAACCCCATCAAAGCCCATCGGCAGCATTGCGACATTTTCTGGGAGCCCTCAAGCTAGGAATGTACTCGGGCTGCTTCACTCAGTAATCACTGAATGACTCAAATTGAATTATTTTATCCAATATGACGATTATTGTAGGTCAATTTAAACGGAATAAATGCACAAACTGCACAAAATATTTTATTAGGTAAGCTATGTTCTACTGCGATTAGATGAAAAAGCGGGGGCCTGCATCTTCTTCAACAGTTAATTTAATTAGTAGGTAATTTGGATAAATTTCACCCTTTTTTTTTGGAATCACTAAAGATTGGAAGTCAATTGATTTTACATTCGTTAAGCAAGGATGGATTTTTTGCCTCCAGGAAGCATCTTCATTACAGGAAATTTTTGAGAGGGAAATGTAGAACATTGACTCATCAACATTTTAAAGCATTTTTCTCTATTACGAATGTGTTTTGGGATTCAGAAACTTTTGTATTACTGTTTTATTTGTTTATTGTGTTAACAACAACAAAAATAAAAATAATATTTCGCAAAATAAAGTTACATTTATTTTCAAAGGTGATAAAAATTACATAAAATCAGGTGGGCACGACGTTTTCTAGGGGTCTTAAACAGATGAGATAGAAGAATTTCAAAAAGCATCATGACAAAAAATTGAAGCCTGGGGACTACTTCTCACATATAGAGTTTTACGAAGGAACGCTTGAGAGAATCTAGGCTGATGGAGAGTTTTTGAGGAAAATTTGTTTTACTGACGTTCATTTGGTCTTAAGGGAAGTTATAATCGTCAGAACGATCAAATTTGAGCATTACACAACCCTCACGTGGTCCATGACCTTCGTTATCAATGGCGTGCAATTGTCAGTGTATGACTGGGGCTTCTAGGACATCATGTCATTGCACCTTTTTTCATCGAATCCGGATTGAATGCTCAGAATTAGGATAATATGCTAGCTCAGCAAATACTTCCTGGGACTCGAAGGGTGCGGCATCTGCAGCAGGTCTTTTACATCCAGGACCAAATCTCCAGCCATACAGTTCGCATAAATGTTGTTTATTTGAACCAGTATTTTTCCGCAATGTTGGAATGGAAAGTTTGCACCGCCCCATTGCCCTGTGCAATCGCCGGATATAAACCCCTGAGAATTTTTTCTTTGGAGATTTCTTCACGACCATCTGCATTCAGACAAGCTATACAAACAGAGAAGCGCTGAAACAAGCAATCCAGCAATATTGTCTTCAGATTTCAACTAAAATGCTGATCAACACGCGTAGGAGTTTTGAAGATTGGCTTACTTACTGTACAGCTGCTGAGAGCAGTCTTTTTTAGCAATTCTTGAAAATAGTGCAATATTTCTCCAGATTCGTACAATATTTCATTACTTCATTCATCAACAATTGTTAAGTTTTGTTATTTGTAGTTATCTAAATGGTTCATTAAAAGGTCCTCTTCAAAAGCGCCAGCTATTTTGATGGCAAATCTTATCATCACACAATAAGAAAAGCGGGCCCTCGCTTTTTCATCTAATCGCAGTAGAACATGGCATTTTAATGAGATTTTAGTAATAAAGACTCGATCAGCACCAGCAACATAACCTAATAAAATATTTTGTGCAGTTTGTGCATTTATTTCGTTTAAATTGACCTACAATAATCGTCATATTGGATAAAATAATTCAATTTGAGTCGTTCAGTGATTACTGAGTGAGGCAGCCCGAGTACATTCCTAGCTTGAGGGCTCCCAGAAAATGTCGCAATGCTGCCGATGGGCTTTGATGGGGTTTTGAGGAAGACCAGCTGCTCGAAGTCTTGTAGTCTTCATCTTGGGCTTTTTGGATACGGTCTGATTGTAGTTCGAGATGGCTCGTTTGACGGGGTCGCGCACTATGACGAATGAATGGATCAATTTGTGCATTTATTCCGTTTAATTTGTCCTACAATAATCATCACACTGGATAAAATAATTCAGTTTGACTTGTTCGTTGATTTCTGATGAGAATAATTTCTAATTTCACTTTGACATTAGAATTTTGCATGGGTAATGAACATACGCGATCGCCGAACTTCGACAGTACGACGGAACACTTCGCGACAATTCGGATCGGGCGCGAATTTCAAAATACGATCTTTAAAACCTTTTTACAGTGAATGAGCGCGATGCAACCATTTGAAAAAAATACTGGCCGATAGCCCTCTTCGACCTCCACAAAGGCATCACTCAATATTAGCTTTAAAGTGATCTGGGGAGATATTATAAAATAAAAACCAATTCGCATGTTAATTCCCTATATCCAGACTTGGATGCGGCACCCTGTATTACACACCTCTTGAAAGAATTTTTTCAATAAATTTAGTTGTGTAAACTGGACTCCTTTGAACAGATATGACATTTAAACGTCAATACAAATTTGAAAGTTACACTAGGGAAAGAAAAGTGTCCTACTTTATTTTCGCCGCCACTGTATATTACAGAAATGAAAAAGTGTGTTGTAAGATCATTTTAAAAGCATACTAATAAAATTTTATGACATAATTAGGATTAAGGTATTTTATCAACAATGCCGAATCGACTTTTCGCATTAGAATTTCCTGTGTTGCCTCAAGTAGACGGTCTTTGGCGGTCGTATCTGTATAATTTATGGTTTTAGAGTTTTGCGGGTTGTAAAATATTATTATTAGTATGTATTTTATTTATTTATTTATTTATTTATTTATTTTATTGAATTACGTTACGCTACAGGCCTTTAAAGTGATCTTAGTATAAAGTAAAATCTTGACAAAATTCATTACCAAAACGATTTGCAAGTTTACTTATCTATATAGAACACCTCAATGAAAAAGAGTCACCTTAAGTAACTCCTGTATTATTTTAAGAAAAATGCAGAAATTGATTAATTTTTATGTTAAGGGAGACGTAATCAAATCTGACGTTATCCCATTGCATAATGATAGTTTCTTCTTTCGTTTATTAAAAAAAATCGTTGAACTTTTTTTAGTTTTAAAATGTTACGGTTTTAGTTTACTTCCGTTACTAAGTATGAATTGGATTTTTGACACTACTTTAATGTCATAATAATTGCAAAAAAAAAAAAATATTAAAAAGTAGATTAAAACTTAATACATGAAAAAGCATGTTAAAAATTATTATATAATAAACGATAAAACAACATT